GTAAAGTCTTTTCCAGGATTGCTTCACAAAAGGTTTACGATGCTTACGGGCGTGTTTCTGAGTTGCAGGCTAACGAGGCCCTGGCACGCAACACGCAGGTCCAAGACCTCTGGTCTTCCATGTACAAGCCATAGTTGTAGCCTCCTCCGACAATGTTTTTCGGCTGGTTGTGTGGGCATTGAAACCCACGCAAACACGGCCCAGACCGGATTGAGCCTGAATGACAACCAACCCCTTTCTCATCAGACTTACTTTCAAACCATCTTCGGGATCTCAAATTTATTATCCCCTGCTCGAGGTCACGGTGCCTTGCTTGGACGACGATGCCATTTGGCGAAGGCCTGCAACTGAATGGTTCTAGGTCATAAAGCCTTAGAAGAGGCCACAGGCGAAGGGGTTTTCGTAAGGATTGCCAGCCCTTTTTTTGCTGCCCGCACTTCGTTCAGTCTAGGTCAGGAAATTGTAGGTGTTGTGGATTGGAGCTGCAAAATCGGGGCATGCCTGTGAAATGTGAGTTATTAAGGCATGGTTGATAAATTTCTCGCCCGCTAGGTAGAAAGTAGTTCGTAGTCCACGCATCAAAACCGACCCCCGGCTCCATTCCGTTCCGTGAGCACTGATTCACAGCACGCGCAGGACGCTGCCCGTCGCGAGCTCGACAGGCTGCTTGAGCAGGTACAAGGGCTTTCCTGGGAACTTCGGGTTTAGGGCTTTAGGGTTCTAGCTGCGCTTCGATCGGGGTGTAGGTTGAGGAATGCAAATAACATAAAAGACGACATCATTGCTGCACAGCAGCTTGGCGAGATCTCCTGAGTTTGGGTGTTTGATAGCATGCTGATCGCTGTGTCCTACATAACCCTTAAACCCTATACATTGAATCTCATACGAACCCTAAGCCCTCTCAACCCAACTTGCGCACCTGCTTAGTATTCTATGCATTGGGTAGCCGTGCTTGGCTTATCAACGACGCTTGCACATCGCACAATCCTGAATCAGATTTCTCATCGGCTTTGGGCCGGGAGATCCACTAGGGCTCAGAGTGTTTGGGTTCTTTAATAGTTAGTGCTTTGTAGTTCGGGCTTAGTTTCCATTGTAGTTTTTTCGGTCAATAAGCAGTGTTAAGCTTAGCATCCGGTGAACGAAAAGTAGGCATTACAGTCAAGACTATGGGTTTGGTTGAGATAATGGAAGCCTCAGGATTTGAAGGTTGTAGGTTTCAAGCACTCATTTAAACAGTGTTTCTTGTAAGGGGCTTATACGATCTGGGTTTGAAGTTCAAGATGCGTGGTTTCAGGTTGATACGACTTTGGGTGAAGGTTCTACAATTTAGGGACTAAGGTTTGGGGTTTATGATTTGAGGTTGGGGGTGTACAGTGTACGGTTTAAGGTGCCAGGTTTAGGGTCTGGGATTTGGTTTGCCGGTTTGTGGTAAAGTTGCCACTACAGCTCGTCCCGCCTACTTTGAAAGACTGGCCACCTTCAAACCTAAACCCTAAACCTCAAACCCTAGCCTAACCCTATCGGGAACCACGTGTCATGTGTCTTCAGCGTCACTGTTGGTGTAGAACGGAAGGAATGCCGTGGGGTTTCAAGCTAAAGGTTCAAGTTCATGCTTTTCTAGGGTTTGAGGTATTAGATAAATGCTATAAAGGAGAACCTTTGAGCAACAAACGACCCGAAACCCCAAACCCTGATATAGGTCCCTTAGCAGCATCCGAAGAGCCATAGGCTATCATAGTGTTTAGGGTTTAGAGTGTAGGGTTTGAGTGTTAATGGGATTACAATTTGGGTGCCGTCATTTAGTTGTGACAGGGAGTGGCCCGGATGTCAGGTTACACCGACAAAATGTAGACCCCGGGCAATCCCGAACTCCTCCAACCCTGCCATGCGGCATTTCTCTCCGGGGCCAAGGCCACACGCCAACACTTGCGGAGTGTCTTCGAGGCATCCAGCACCTGATAGTGTGAACCGTGGGGCGAGGGAATTATTGTCATCCTTACATTGAATGAAGACTTATTGTGTGATCAGGGCGCATTGACAGGAAAGGCAGATGCAAGACTGGCGTACTTCTGGGCCATAATGTTGGCTGGCTCCACGAAGGTGTATTGATAGTAAAGCTTGACAGCTTTGGGCGCCACCTCAAAGTGATCCTCACCATCACCTGACACTGATTTTGGGGATTCGTGGAATAGCATTTGGAATTATATGGTTCCGAGCCTAGTATTGTAACCTATGCCTTCAAAGGGATTGGTATGAACTGCAGCCTAATGACTGGCAGCTCCCGTGGATCGTTCACATCGATGTCCATTGAGCGTCAAGTCGACGAGGCCTGCCGTCTCCATCTCGCGAATCATGGCATGGATAGAGCATGGCTCGGAGTCAGCCGATGTTCGGTTCTGTGGCACTTCGAGGACAATAATGTCATCTTGACTGGTCCATTCGCACACCATCAAGTTGTCGACGGTCCCTGCACATGCAACGTCTATGGTTGGTCAAGAATGCACCCCTTGACATGTCGTGCAGGAAACGGAGCGGCACCAGAGGATTCTTTTGGCGCCCGGAGCACAGCTTCAACGACTCAGCAGCATATGGCATCGCACGGAGTGTTCGAATGCATCCGGTTGGCACGATACGGTATGACTTCTAGACGAGCCACCCCAATGGCTCGACAAAACTTCGGTTCGCAGGCCATGTCATCTTTTCGGAGTCTAGGCCCTAAGCAAATCGGCGGCGCTTCTGCTCAGTAGGAGAATGCTGCGCGATGTGGTTCAGACGGATAGGATGGGTCTGCCACCTGAGGTGGGCGACTCTGCATCCACTACAGCAGATGCAGGCAGCTCGGTTCACAGGAGGATTGATTGATCGTCTGAGGGGCCCACTCTTTCCGGGCTGTTGCCCAGATCTGTTTCTTGGGCATGTCTGGGTGCTCACTTTCAAGCCTGGCAGCCGCTTCCTTGATCGTCTTCCAATACTCCCCGATCATGCCGTCACCAAGCTTGTTGGCATCGGGCTTGCATGCCTGCAGACATGATTTAAAGGTTTGGGGTTAAGGCTGAAGGTGTAATCTTGAGCAGTTTCAGGGGTTCTCATCATAGGGCCAGGGATGCTACTGTTGATGATATAAATCCTGCATTACCTTAAGGACCCTAAACTATGGGAATTATGGTATATTCCTTATTCTGGGTAATGCAGGATTTATATCATCAACCGTAGTACCAAGGGTCTAGGTGAGGGTTATCTTTGGATAACTGGCATTTAGACTTCGAGCCAAAAACTCCACGTAACTCGAACCGAAACCTCAACCCCAAAGCCAAACCCTAGATCCCAGACTCGATAATCTCCAGCCCTAAGTATATTATAATGCAAGCCCTGAGTAGCCTTCTTAGCCGCGGCTGGCTTCTTCTTGACTGTCTTGACTTTCTTCGGGGCTGGCTCCGGTTCCTCGCCCAGAACCAAGGTCTCTTGCGAATCTCCCGGAAACACGATGCCGTCCTCCTCCTCCTCCCCCGAAATCTCTGACTCTGCCTCTTTCTCGGAATCTTTCTCGGAAGCCGGCTCGCTCCCGCTCTGATCGTGCTTCGAGCCACGCGATTTGGCTTTGGCCTTCGGTTTAACTTGGGCCTTTGCCTTGGCTTTGCCCTTGGCAGCAGGCTTTTTTGTCTGTGCCTTTCCCTTCGGGCCGGGCTTGGGCTTCGTGTCGACCCGATTTTTTGCAGCATCAACGCAGAAAGCCCTCAACCTTTGAAGCCCTGCTGAGCCCCCTGTGCTGTTTGCTGGCTTTGCTGCTGATGATGCTGATGCTTGACCAGTGTTCTGGGTGCCGGGTGCCGGAGGTGTGGGTTTGTGCATGGCATCCGTAAGTGCTGCATCAAGATTCTGCCTGGCTGTTGGAGTCATGCTTGCCGCAGCGTGTGCTGAGGTCATCGGGAGGCTTCCTCGTGGGCTGCTGTTGGGTGTAGCGGCCTCAACACAAGAGCAGGGGGAACCATTCTTATCGTAAGATGGGTTATGCTGCATTAAATTAAGTTCAAACAGCAGTAAGGGCTCCACAGACCCAATCGTAGGAGAGGCAACAGAAGGTGGATTTGATGTCGTTGAGGCAGTAGGTGTCGGTGTCCTTGGCTCGCCGGCCGTCATCTGACCCAGATCCTGCAAACATGCTGAGTGGTGTACTAATTTCCTGCAAACTCTAGTGGCTAGTGTTGCAGCAGTCACTGTATCCTTCTGGAACCCGTGTTTCGAGAGCAGCATCTGCAATGCGTCCATGGCAGCAACACAGACACAGGGAAGGTCTGAAGGACCTTTGCAGCTACACTCCTGCAGTGATCGAGTTTCAATGGCCGCGCTGTGCACGATAGTGGTGGAATGATTGTGAGCACGGTCGTCCTAAAACCATGGACCCACCCACCCATGAACCGCTAAACGCCTAGGCCGTAAAGCCTATCGGCCTAAAGTCTCCAAACCCTAAGTCTCAACCCTGAAACCGTTGACCCCAAAGCCAAGCCTTAAACCTTGACCTTGCGGCTTCAATTTTCAATCCGTGATCCTTAACCCATTAACCCTTAACCCTTACCCTGAAATCCTGAACCCCACCTCTGAACCTCAACTAGTCGTCCCAAAGCCACAAGCCCATCCACCCCTAAGCCACTAAACGCATCTAAACCCTAGGGCCTAAACGGGGCTTAGCTGTAAGCCTAAACCTAAATCGCACCACTGAAACCTGCAACCCTCAGCCGTAGGCCCTAAACCCTAAAGGCCCTAAACCTTAAACCCTTCAGTCTTAACCCTTCGCCCTTTAAGCAGACCCAGGCCTTGAGCTTCGCGAAGTATCTTGGCCGCCTTCTCAGGCTTGAGAAAGCAGCTCCGCCCGTGGCCGATCAAGAACTCAGACGCAGGGACTGTGACGCTGCTGTGTGCAACCTCAGTGGAGTTTTGAATGATTTGAATCCAAGGTTCCCACTTCATACGAGGTTCCATCATGTAGCAATCAGACTACTTCTTTATCGAGCAGCAAGGAAGACTTTGAACTTTTGTGCATCGCACACATCAGTCTGTTGGCCATCTCGCTCGGTGCTCTTGCAAATGAACAGACTTGCGCCTGCGGTTCTTGCTGGAATCTTGTGCTCAATCTCATACCTGCCGGTGAGATCATCCAAAGTGGATGGCTCACCATCCCAGGCCAATGAGCCATCAGCCACCTCCGGGTTCCGGGTGCTGATTGGTCCCGGTGCGTCCGCGGCCTGGGTCTGCATGTGCCGGGCAAACCTCACCATGGGCTGGTTTAGATTTAGGATCGGTTTGGGACGTTAGGGTGAAAGGATGCAAACGGGGTTTCGGCTCCGAAGTTTTAAACTCAAGCAAGTAGCTTCAGGACCTCAGGAGTAGTAGTTTGGTTTAACTTGCTTCAATCTTTGGTTTATTTAGGCTGGTGGCTTCGTAACACAGGCTCAAGTTCCTCTACGGATGCATAGCAAGGAACTGCTTGTCGAAAGCTTCCATGAGCCCCTGCCACTGCATGCGATGCACAACATCTGCATTGTACTGTGCCCGGACGGTCGGGGACAAGCTGAACCTGTAGCGACCCACACCCCTTTGGGAGTCATCAGCCGTAACCTCCACAAGCTTGAAACCATAGTCACGGGGATCTGGGCTGGCCGGCATGCCGGAGACCTCGCTCTCGTAGCGCCTGAAGCCGGTCTCCTCTGCCAGGAGCTGGGTGCTCGCGTTCTGCTTCCAGGCCTGAAGGAACAGGGTTTGGGCTCCGGGGCTTAATTCAGTCGGGTGCTCAGGTTAGGAAGGTTCAGAGTTTGAGCCACAATGCTTTTGGTTGAGATTCGGGATGAGTTACTCAGGCTTTAGGCCTTTAGGGCTCGAGAGTTTTATCCTTTCATATGTACCGGTTGGTGTGTCAGGGTTGGCTGGGATCACTCAGAGTCACCCACACTATTGAATTATCACCACATCCCAGATTTCAGCAGCAAGCCTGCAGAATGTCCAGAGCCAAGATTTGCTCGCAATACTGAGCGATATCCATGTCATTCGTGAGGGACAGGGAGCAAATTCGTGGCCTCTGCTCTTCAAGATGGTACTTAGCCACTGTCTTCTCCCAATGGGCATCATACGGGGAGAGGTGCACCGTCCTGAACATTGTCCTGCTGGGCATGTTGGCAAAACAACCCGCCAGGATGGCTTCCGGGAAGGCTGCACCGCACAGGATCTGTGCGGCCTCCTGCACATCTGACATGGCCCTGACAGGGATCGTAAGTTTTTGGGCAAAGTTCACTAACTGTTAGGTTGACTCTTGTGTGGCAACTGAGTTGAATATTCGTTTAAGTTCTAAGACAGGCTGATACGGTCTAGGGTTCAGTGTTGTGGATTTCTGGTGTTGGGCTACTTGGGTTTGAGGTCTAGGGTTCAGGGTTGATTTGAGGTTTGCAAAGGCCCCACGCCTCGAACCTTCAGATGCCGAGGGCACGGAGTCTTTGATGGCCACCGGGATGATGTAGTTGCGCTCGGGCTCGAAGGGAATGTTCGATCGATTTCCCCTGCAATAGCACAAGGAATCCGACTGACTAAGTTTTCTCGAGTTGTGCTGCTGTAGCACCAGCAATGCTTACTGAGTTAAGACAAGATATAACAGTTGCAGCTCAATTTCAAGATCCTTTGCATGATGCTGCTAGTACGTAACCGATGTAACCCCGTCCTGTCCACCAACAGTGAGCAGCGCCAAAAGAAGTTCTTCTCCGGCTCGTTCGCATCCATCATGACCCAAGCTGGGAAGATGATGGGGACGCTTTTGTTTGAGGGCGGGCTCTCCATGCGGAACGTGATGCTTTGCGAGTAGAGCATCTTCGCATCAGCTTTGTCTTCGATGCGCCTTTCCAATCATTCATTACTCATTAAACACTAGAAAGACATTGGGACTGGCTGCAGCTAGCTCCTAGCACGATTTTTAGACTCATATACGGGTGCCCGCCTCAATTCGGCCCGCTGTCCGAGTCTCGCCGACTCCAAGAACGGGGCGACCACCACAGCCATTGTCATCAGGGGCTTTGCGGATAGAAACTTCTTGACCATGCCAATGTCACGGTCTAAGTCTTTCGCACTCAAGCGACCGTTCTTCGTGAAGTCCAACAGGAGCACGCACGGCGCCTCGTCGACCGTGCTCTTTGCCATGAACTGCAGGCAGGAACATTGCGATTCGAGAATTAAGACGGTGAGGAATTCATGGTTTAGAACACGAGAGGTTCATTCGTTGAAGCTGAAGTTTCGCGGATCACTACATCCCGTAGCATGGGTTGATGTGTTCAGAGGGGCTTTCGAAGATCGTGTTGATGCATTGTCTTTGGGACTCGGGGTTTAGGGCTTAGGGTTTAGTATGACTGTCATTGTTGCGGCGCCCATACTCAATATGTGTGGCTAGGAGTATCATGGACACGGCTTAGGAGTTGGGGTTTAGGGGGTTGAATTTTTAGTATTTAAGCCGACTGGCCTGCATAAGTGCCGACTCGAGATCCTCTGTGGTACCACCAACCACTCGGAGCCACTTCTGCATGTACTTGGTGGTCAGGCTCGCTCCCAGTGCATTCCTCGTGGGTTTGTTCGGTTTTAATTAGAAAATACACACTCGCGGTAGTGCTGTGGGACCTGTGCAACTTGTACCGGTGCCGGCAGGACACTGAGACTTCAAGTGGGTTACCTTTGCCAGGTGCCGTGCGCGGTCCGACTTGTTGTAAGCGTCCAGCATCCTGCCGATGTTGGCGATGTCGGTGGCCAGCTTGAGCTGGTCTTGCTCGAAAGCGATTCTGGAAGCATCATCGGCCATGCTGTTCAGCCGGGCCGCAGCAGCATCCATCACTGCGGCATCGTTCGTGGGGGCCAAGTGATCGCTCCAGAGCTGCGTGTGGGAGGGGCTCCAATTGAAGTGGCTGCCATCAATGTGTGCTTGCATATCGTCGTGGTAGTCCCTCAATCACACTTTGTATGCTGGTTCTGAGACTGACTCATCTCGCGGGAAGTAGGCAATAGCTAACTTAATGCAACTGAGCAACCCCTCCAAGACCTTGGCCCGTGCCGCCTTGAGATGCTCTGGGGAGAACATGCTTGGCTGGTTGCCCATCTCCTGGAGCACATGTCCCAGAGCCGCCATGATGTTCGTTTCCGCGTCCCACTTTGCCAAACTCAGCCTCACATTGGAGGCTTTGCCCGCCCGCTTTTTCAGGGCGACCCTGTGTAGGAGTAGGACCCGGTCCATGAAGAGCTCTTGCTTCACGTTGTTAATCTTGAGAATCTCGTGCCAAATGCCGTCCGTCTGTGGCATGCTCTGTCCCAAGAACCACCGAGTTGACAGCAAAGTCTCTTTTGCGAAAGCTTCAGGGCAATCAAAGTCATTCAGGCTAGTACATACTTATCCATTACGTACTATCCCAACGATGGAGAACTACATCTCACTTCCTGTATTGCCCGGGCCTGGCCTGAAGAGTCCTGCCTGTGCTGATGCAGGTGAAGCTGGATCTGCTTCCACACAAGATCACTGACTCCAACCTGGTGAAAGGGATTTAGAATGGGGCCTCGGCTGATATTATTACCGAAGCATCCCATGCCCTAAACCCTAAACCCGAATCCCTTTGTTACCCTTAAAGGGGCCCCTCAAGCCTATAAAGCCCTAAAGCCTATAACCTTACCTACTACTATAAGTCCCATGCCCGGAACCCTAAATCCTAAACCGGAAACCCTGAACCCTTAACCCCAAAGCCTAAAACCGTCTAACGCCAGGATGGGTGAGGGATCTATGTTGGTGCAGCTAGTCTAGTTCAGGCTTCAGGGCTTGTTGGTTGTCGGTAAGCCTTGAACCCGTACATGGACATTGCTGTCCCCTGATCGAGACGGTAGCGCGAGTTGGTAGCTGCGACGCCGTAATGATTGAACTCATCCACACTCTGGAGGAAGGCCTCTCGGTACTCATCTCGCGAGGCATCCGTGATCCTCTTGTCCTCAGGAGGTATAGGGCTAGTGTTGTTTTCATTTATAATTCCAACGCATCCTAGCCTTAAACCCTAAACCCTGTAGACCCGAAGCCCTAAACCCTAAGCCTTAAATCCTAAAGCCGAAATCCTAATGCAGTCTGCTGCTCTTGCCTACTGAATGCATAATGCGTAAATGAGCAATGTCGAATGGACAAGAATCGACCAAGATTGCATCCGCACGGGAATGGAAAATCATGGTCTGCTGGATGATGCTTTTCTTCTGCTTCTCTGCTTGTTGCTGAGAGAGTTGCAAGCGGCGCCACACGTACTCTTCCTTCCTCGTCTGCTTGATGAACACACAGCCGATGGAGACGGCGGTCTGGAGCCACCTAATTTGCAGTCGCTTGAAGGGCTGGGCAACTCGTAGTATAAGTTACAGGTAAAGAGTAACAGCTACAGCACTTAATCCTATTCCCTCCTTTAGACAGTTGGGCTTCTCCCATGCAATGAAAGCAACGCCTGGAAGGAAATCTGCATGAATTCTTCGTTGCATAAGAAATCCCACAACACAATTTGGCAGAAGTCTTGCCTTACGTGCGATCGGGGTGGAAATTGGAAGACTGCGGTTCTGTCCGAAAGCCACCAGACTGTCAATATACAGGAGACGACGGTTTGGAAGACCGCGGTGCTTTGGAAACCCTCACGAGACTGTCCCTGTGCAGGAGACGACGGTTTGGAAGACTGCGGTCCTTTACAAACCGTCACCAGACTGTCCCTGTGCAAGAGACGACGGTTTGGGAGATTGCCCTCCTTTACAAACCCTCACCACACGGGTCTGGCTCTCCTAGACGTATCTATCTGGGCCACCCGGGAATTCATGGTTTCACCAAAGCCATCCACCCTGGAGCACCCGGGAGACGACGGTTTCATCCAAACCATCAACTGTCGGGCCTGGGGCACCCGGGAGACGACGGTTTCATCCAAACCATCAACTCTCGGGCCTGGGGCACCCGGGAGACGACGGTTTCATCCAAACCATCAACTCTCGGGCCTGGGCACCCGGGAGACGACGGTTTCATCCAAACCATCAACTCTCGGCCTGGGCACCCGGGAGACGACGGTTTCATCCAAACCATCAACTCTCGGATCCGGGCGGCTATAGTGGATTTGTTTAAACCCTCATCTTTTTAACTTGCAACTTCGGCCAAGACAAAAGGTGATGGTTTGACTCAAACCATCATCTCCTGCCCTTTGTAGAAATATTTGTGATCGCTTTAACTACCTTTTTTCGCACTTAAAAAATAAGCCAAATATTTCTACAAAGGACAGGAGATGATGGTTTGAGTCAAACCATCACCTTTTGTCTTGGCCGAAGTTGCAAGTTAAAAAGATGAGGGTTTAAACAAATCCACTATAGCCGCCCGGATCCGAGAGTTGATGGTTTGGATGAAACCGTCGTCTCCCGGGTGCCCAGGCCGAGAGTTGATGGTTTGGATGAAACCGTCGTCTCCCGGGTGCCCAGGCCCGAGAGTTGATGGTTTGGATGAAACCGTCGTCTCCCGGGTGCCCCAGGCCCGAGAGTTGATGGTTTGGATGAAACCGTCGTCTCCCGGGTGCCCCAGGCCCGACAGTTGATGGTTTGGATGAAACCGTCGTCTCCCGGGTGCCCCAGGCCCGACAGTTGATGGTTTGGATGAAACCGTCGTCTCCCGGGTGCTCCAGGGTGGATGGCTTTGGTGAAACCATGAATTCCCGGGTGGCCCAGATAGATACGTCTAGGAGAGCCAGACCCGTGTGGTGAGGGTTTGTAAAGGAGGGCAATCTCCCAAACCGTCGTCTCTTGCGCAGGGACGGTCTGGTGAGGGTTTGTAAAGGACTGCAGTCTTCCAAACCGTCGTCTCCTGCACAGGGACAGTCTGGTGAGGGTTTGCAAAGGACCGCGGTCTTCCAAACCGTCGTCTCCTGCACGTGGACAGTCTTCGGAGGATTTGTAAGGGAGCTCAGTCTTCCAGTCTGGTGGCTTACGGACAGAACCGCGGTCTTCCTGATCTTTTTCCGATCGCATGTAAGGCAAGGCTTCCGCCAGACTGTGATACACAAGGCAACATGAAGAAACTTGCCGGAATTACCTGGGAGAAACGCTGATTATCTAGGCGTCGGAAAGCCCCTTCCCCAGTAACGTAAAGCCATCGACGTTATCCAGGCTCGTGGGAATGACTTTGCAAATGCGTATTTTGCTGGTCTAGCTTTTGAAGAGATCTTGATATCAGCACTAGCAACAGCAACAGCAAGCACAGCAGCAAAAACACCAGCAGCGACAGTGTTGTTGCAAGAACAACAGCACCACCAGCAGCACCACCACCACTGCCACCGCCACCACCGCCACCACCGCCACCACCACCACCACCACCAAGAGCAACAACGACAACAACAACAACAACAAGAACAACACCAACACCAACACCAGCACCAGCACCAGCACCAGCAACAACTGCAGCAACAACAACGAAAGCACTTGCACCACAAACAACAACGACAGCAACAACAACAACGACAACTACTAGTACTACTACTACTACTACTACTACCACCACTACCACTACTACTACTACTGCTACTACTACTACTACTACTACCACTACTACTCCCACTCCCACTCCTTCTACCACTACTACGGCAACTACAAGTACAAGTCCTACTCCAAGTCCTACTCCTACTCCTACTCCTACTACTACTACTACTACTACTACTACTACTACTACTACTACTGCTACTACTACTGCTACTGCAACTGCTACTGCTACTGCTACTGCTACTGCTACTGCTACTGCCACTGCCACTGCCACTGCTACTGCTACTGCTACTGCTACTGCTACTGCTACTGCTGCTGCTGCTGCTCCTACTACTACCACTACCACAGGCACAACCACAACCCCCACCATAGCCACAACCCTTATAACACACAATCCCGATTGGACAATCAGACCTCTAAGGTGCCCTGATCTACTCTCGTGCATTTGGTGCCTGAGGCTCGGCTTGAACTTGATTTTTTCTTCCGTCAGAAAGGGTTCAAACGGAACGTTACAACATAGGCTTCTGGAGGCAGGTAGTGGACCTCTGACCGCAAGCCCAAGCTACACAATATCATAAGTATCTGTGTATGGCATGCCAGAGCTTGAACCCCAAGTTTTTTTCAGAACAGAACACCAGCGGCGTGCACAGGGTTTGCGGTATGTGTATTAAACTCAATACTTGGTTCAAGGCCTGGAACTTTGGTTTAGGTGTTAAGATGTGCGGTTCAAGGTTTAGGCTTTACAGTTCGGGGTCACGGTTTAGTGTTTTTGATTCCTGCTGCCGATGTACTTTCGGAACTCCTTCTCGGTCTCTTCGTCCCAGTTCTGTTTCAGCTCGAGGTAGGTGTGGAGCACGGCGAAGTAAAGAATCGACAGTCTGCCAAACCCCTTTGCTGGACCCAGGGTCCCGAACTCCAGGGGTTTACCCAAAGCGGAATCCTGCCAAACCTTGACTTCCACGTTTTCTCTCCATCCTTCGAAACCCGTGGCCCAAATCGACCCTGCATGCACCTGCCACTCTTGCAGCACAGGGAAGCCGTCCTCTGGCTCCCGGAGCCGGAACCCCAGCAAAGGGACCGGGAACACGGACTGCTGCGAGTCCGCCTCGGGTATGCTACAACTTTGGAGCAACAGGAAGGGTTCCGGTAGGGGGTCCCGACTTAAGGTATACTATATTATATAGGAGATTTAAGCTAGAGTTTTATTGCATTGCACAAGGTTAGATTCAATCATGATTGTTGTTTTTGGGCTGAAAGAATCAATCTTTGTTCAACTTTGACTTGGGATCAGGAAGTGTAGTGTTTATTGTATAATGGTTTACGGTTCACGGCTTGGGATTGAAGGTTTAGGGGTGCTACGCTTGACAAATGCGGATTCAGGGTTTACGGTTTCCAGGTTTTCGGATATGAGCCAGCGCACCGGCATGACGACAGAGGAAGGGTGCTGCAAGCTGCCCTCGGAAACATGGTGCAACCAATCATGTAGGCCGTCGTAAATCCCCGGCTCGGCGAGCTTGCTGCAAACAAACTCTGCGGGGTGGCACTCTTTGACACAGTCGAACTTCCTTAATGGGTGACCAAGTCACTGTTAAGTCACTGCTACCGGATGATGCAAGGGCTATTGCAAAACTTGCTGGAATCCTGCTGATCCTGAGGCAGGGTCGCGAGCGCGGTCATCATCTTCTTCAACCAAGGCCCGGCCTTAGCCTCCTTGATGCTGGAGGCAGATGCACTATCTGCCACAGCTTTGCGCTTCCCCGGCATCACTGCAACCGAAGCCTACCTACCCCAGATACCTGCTTGCTTGGAAAACCTGCAGCCAACACCATCAGTCGTGATTGCTCATGCGCCATGCACTGACACCAGGAGCGAGCTTCAACTGTTTCGAGCACGCGTGTGTAGGAGATAGCTTCGCCGCCAGGTCTGGATGGCAGCGTGTGCCGGTTTCCTAGAAGTCGCTCTCGAATTGTCTGCATCGGAATGAATTTCTGATTGGATTCTGCGAGCCCATCAGTCAACCAACAGCGGATGACTTCTCTAGTCTTTGGGAGTCACGCACAGGATGCAAGCTAACAGCACTGCTCCCAGACACGGTAGGGACATGCAATTGCCTGCCTGACGGATCAGCTCCGTCCTGGGTACATCCTGGATCTGCAACATCGGAGCATCGCAGGTCTGTGCATGTTTGGAACACACAGGGAGGCAATGACTGGCGAGCATCTCCTTCGGGTGCAAACTGCGGCCGAGATCCTGAGAGCATCTTCACTCCCCCACCCCCATGACATTCGAGGTTTCGGGACTCGGGTTGTAAGGGTAGGAGGGGTTTACAGGTTGGGTGGTCAGAATTTCAGGGTCTGGGCTTTAATATTTAAGGGTCTGGGGTTTAATAGGTTTAGCAAGGCTGCAGTTGGGAGAGAAAGCAAACAAGTAGGAGGAGACTCCTCTAGGGATGATATGATGGGTGTTGCTCTGAGGCCTGCAATTTATGGAGGCCTGGCACTGGGCCTCATTATGCGATGGCAGCGTCGGGGTCAGTGGCTCGATGAACAGTGATAATAATTTTCGAGCTAATATCGAAAGTCATGCTGGCTTTGAAATTTGGGGATCGCTACACCTAGTGCTGGGGTAGGTGATCGCCAAGATTCTCGGGAGAATAGCATTCCAGACGCTGTTGTCAACGTAGGCAGCGAACCATCTCGAGTCTCCGTTCTTGCACGCCCTGACGTAGCGGATTGCTGTAGGTCCACCAGCCTTTTCAAGGGCACCAATTTGTCGTAGTCCGCAAGGTTCTTTGCCTGGTAGGTCTAGGTTGAGGGGGTCTATAGGGGCCAAAGAGGTTTGAGGGGTTTAGGGGGGATTTGGGGATAGGCTTCGGATCTACATGTTCATGTGGCAATACTCAATTTGCTGTGGAGACGAGGTTTGAGGGGTTTAGGGGAGATTTGGGGATTGGCTTCGGATCTACATGTTCATGATCAATACTCAGTTTGTTGTAAAGACTCTGCTACTTGGCTCAGTGCTAAGCAACAACAAAGAACTGCACCATGAGCCGTGTTTTCAGATACAAACTGTACATGTCCAGCCACTCAGCCCGTCAACAAGAAAGCCCTGTGGGTCGACAAGCTACGTGCCAGGTTGACAGCTCGCTTCCGGCGGTGGTCTTCATGAAGAAATACTTCTTCAATTGCATCACCGGTTGACATCTCAGTGTTTCAAGCACATCGCGCAGGCTGATGTTTGGGTTCCACGTCACAACGTTGGTTCTCATTGCTATGATGTACCTTCTGGCCCTAGCTGTGCTGTGGCCAAACAGCCGTGGATCCACACAAGCGTCGAAGCACAAGTACTTCTTCCCGAGTCGGCTTTGTACAGTTTGCAGCTTGTACTCAGTCACATTCTCGATCACGAGAAGGTCTGTGCCTTTGCGAACCTCATTCTCGTAAAACGTTTCGTGGCAAGCGAAGGCCTTGTGATCTTGAGCCGTACGTAATCCCATCATACTGAAGGGAGTGCACGGCGGTCCTGGTAGGGTCTAATGGGAGACAAACAATTATTACCTAATCTAGTCTACGTGGAAGGGCAGGGGACTTAGTAAGTTGGTTATAAGTAGGGTTATAATTGGGGTAACTCCGTTTAGGGTACTTATAACTCTACTTATAACCTACTTACTAAGTCCCCTGCCCTTCCAAGTAGTACAATGGGTGCTGTCGCAAAACAATCGATTCTGATTTGGACTGAGGATGCAGCCTGCGATAGTCACGCTCAGTCCTCAGTGGGGTGTAGCAGGAAGAGCTTTTAGGGCTTATGGGGTTCAAGGTTTAGGGCTTCAGGGCTTATAGGGCTATATTCTGGGGTTTAGGGTTTGGGTTTTAGGGCTGATAAGGTTTTGGGTTTAGGGTTTTTCAGGCTTATTATAGGTTTAGGGTAGTTAGAGGGTCTAGTTCAAAGGAGCGAAAAGGAAGGCAGCAGCAACACTGAATCTGAACACTAACTGTGTAGGCATGGTTCGACCACGTCTGTCAGAAGCAGGCTTGACGACTGGACACTTTTTCTCGTGAGTGTAACACCAAGCCTTCTTGCCCGTCATCTCGTTGACATCACCAAAGTTGCATGTGCAAGGGTATGTCGATGTGAGTACATGGCGGCACCAACTGTTGATGTCGCAGCTCGAATCGAAGATGACATGCTTGTCTGGTCTCTCGACAACAGAGGCATGCTCGGATTTGAAGTTGTGTGCACTAGCTTCAATGCTGTGGAGAGCCTCAGAGAAGCCAAATGACATAAGTACCACACGATTGCCCTAATCACAACTTGTTTAGATATGTACAATCAGCAGGCATGCTGGCATAACCAAGGATGTGACACTCTCTGCACAGCCGACTCCGCTGAAGCAGGTCGTCACCGACCACCTCCATGTACTCAGTTGAGTCAACACAAAGTCTTCTCCGTAGCAAGCACCCAGAGTCTCCAAAAAGGTCGTGGGCCACTTGAAGCAATCCTTTAGCGTGCTTGGCCCCCGGGGTTTTTCGGAGGAAGCTGGCTCGATGTCCGTCTTGGGGTATTTTCTCCTTTGCTATCAGCAAATGCAATCAGAACATCGTGTCACGCTGACTGTTGTTCTTGTATAAATGACTACAAGCTATCAGCTATCACTGAGTTGCAATAGAATACGCACCATAGCAGCTGAGAATCGCTTTGGGCTGGGTTCGGGTCTTCTTGGTTTGCTTTATCACTGCTGCCGGCCTCTTTGTGGCTGGCTGAGA